TTCACAAAAAGGACCATAGCTACACAGTTTGATGAGTTGAGGGACTAATGGTAATGGATTTTTAGTTAAGGGGTCATTGCTCCAATTTGATTAAAGTTGAGGGACCATTGCTATAGTTTACTCTTCTTGGAATTATGTGCCCGAGAAAGTGAAGAAGGCGGTGATGGATGAATTATTAGTAAGTATATTGTCGATGGATCAATAATTAATTTTGTGAAATTTTTTGTTATATGTTGGAATTAATTATTTGCATATATGTGTAATAGTGTAAGTATACTCTTGATGATGATACAAACGAATAGTTGATGAAGTTGAAGGAGGTGGCGTTGAAGGGAGGTTACAAGCGGTGGCGTTGAAGGGAGGTTACAAGCAGTGGCGTTATGACATCGAGCGGAATGGAGGACCATCGAAATAATAGTTTTAAATTTATGTTTTTGAGGACAATGTTTAAATTTAAGGTTTTTTTTATTAGTTATGTATTTGGACTTAATTAGGCTTTAAATCCTATTTGGTTTTTTAAATAATTGAATGGAATATAATATCATTTTATTTAAGGTTTTAATTATTTTTAGAATAAATATTATAACTGAAAATTTGTTTGTAATTATGAAGTTTACATAAACATAGATATCTATGTTTACGTAAAGTTCATAATTACAATCGATCACGTTCGTCGCTAAAAATTTGCGCGACAAAGAATGTCCATTGATAAGCTTGCTTCTGGTTTTATGATGGTCAAAGCAACAGTTTGTAGGCATGCTTGAACCTTCTAAACTATCACATTCCCGTTAATTAGAACAAACTTACTAAGAACTCTACCATCTTATATCTTTTGCACAATATTTTATAATATTAACATAGAAATTAAAATTATATTGTGAGATAGCATAGAATTCATAGAGAATTGCTTTCTCTAGACTCAGTGAGGTGACTAGATAACTCGCTGATGCATGCATGCACTTTAGTTGGCACTAAAGCACAATGAAACTTGACCAGCTTTAATTATGTTTTCCTTCTCTAAGATAATGAACATTCAACCTAATTCATCTTAGCAATAAGGCTATAAGCAGTCTGACCTTACTCAATTCACGGGTTTTGTCTAATTATTTGCATAATTACTCCTTAATCTAAATCGTCTCTCTATATTAGTAGATCCACTACTATAAACGATTTAAGTTGGTATACCTGGCCTTGGAAGCCAAACCTTGTTGCAGACTCGTAGTGTGAAGTCATATCAACAAGTTGTAAATTTTGTTTTACCGTCCCCAAGTGGTATAAACTATTTGAATTGTTGGGTGGATGTATTGTTTTTGTTGTTATATTGTATGCAGGTTTTAGGGAATGTTATAGTTTTAGGGGAGTTTCTACCGAATTTTCAGTAGAAAATAGATTTGGTTTGAAAAAAAAAAAAAAAAAGGGCCCTTGCAAACTACTTAAGACGTCATAGATGTTCACTCGCACCACGACCAAGAAGATCACCATTATGTGGGATCCTCAACATCGTGCAATTGCCACAAAGGAGCAGCACAGTGCGTTGGCCACCAACATTGTCTTGGTTATCAGGAACCATTGCCCCCTCATGTGGGAGTCATGGAAAGTTGTCCCACATGAAGTCAAGTCATTCTTCATGAATTATCAGTAAGTATTTTCAACCTCAAATACTAAATTTTTATTAAAGTATACAAATATTTTAAATTTTAACTACTATTTATTTGTTGAGTTTTGCAGCATCACTAGGAGCTCTCCAACCTCGATACCAATCAAATGTAGTACATCAATGACCGTTTGCTCTGGTAGGTTCACTCAATGGAAGAGCGACCTCCACAAGCATTATGAACTATATTACGGTCCGAAGGTCACTCTAGCAGTTGGGTGCCCTATAGAGTTGGTGGACCGCCGGGATGAATGGGAGTGGCTCTGCGGCCATTTTCAAGACAAGAAATACCTCATACGTATAATATATATTTCAATAATATATTAATCAGAAATTTTACAATTTTAAATAAAATTTCCATTTTTTCATTCATTTGTTATAAATATCTAAACTAATACATTTTTTTTTAATTTTTTTTTAAATTTTTTTAAATTCAACAGAAAAAAGTGAGGGCAAACTCAATCAATTGATCGAAGAAGAAACTTCTTCACCAATCCGGTTCACGACGCTTCTCTTATAGGTTGGAGGAGCGACGTAAGGTAACCGTATATTTATTTTAAGTTTTCAATCCTTGTACTCTTTATTAAACAATTGGTAATCTATGTTAACACTTTTTAAATTTTTTTAGGGGAGTCAAAGTTTCTTAAAATTGACATGTTCAAGGAGGTGTACGTTCGGCATGAGCTGACAGAGCAACTTCATGTAAGTTATTTCAATTTTTTAATATTCAATTAGTATTAATATTAATTACATGTATATTAAAATTAATTTGTTTATTTCATTTTTCTAGTCCACCATGGTGGAGAAGGGCCAGACCATTCTGGAGGAGGTGGCTTCCCAGCTTCCTGTAAAGATCCCGATCGAGGAGGTGTTTCCCCTGGGGATGCTGGCTTTTAGATCATGACAGACACACTCGATCAGACCTTCGGTCGTAAGCATGAGAATGTTCACGGGGGCTTGGAAAAGCCTACCTTCGGGACCCGTTTGCCTCATCCTCCAGGAAAAGAGCAGAGGAGGTCGAAACGCTGACATCTGAAGTGGCAAACTTGAAGGAGCAGATTACGGCCCAAAACAATTTGATGAACCAAATTTGTCGTGCACTTCAAATCTCTAACATTCACTTCCCCGACGTTGAACCACCTCTAGAAACAACCTCTGAGCCCCCCGTTGCAGCAACTACGACCTTTCAGCCCCTCGACGCAGCAGCAACACCACTAGTCGGCGATTGTGACGTTGAGGACTTCCTATTTTAGTTTTTTTTTTACATTGTTTTCAAATTTAAAAATGCATTTTTCCATTGTATGTACATTTTCAATAATTTTTTAATTCAATATTCTTCTTTACATTTTCTATTTTTAATTTCATTAAATTAATTTTTACATATAAACCAATATTAGCAACATTTCAAAGGAAAAAAAAATTAAATAAATACTAAATAAATAATAAATTATTTAAAAAAAAACTAATTTTAAAATCTTACTGCGATGAAATCTATATCCATCGCGCAAGAGTTTGTAGGTCGAACATCTATGTTCATCGCGCAAGAGTTTGGGGGTCAAACCCCAGTTTCGTCGCTCGGTCACACGCAACGACCATCAACTCTGTCGTGCAACCTTTATTTCGTGCGACGAAGAGCATTCCTGCATCGCGCAATGCCTGACATCACGAGCTTTGTGCAATGCTCTCTTTGCCACCCAATGTTTCTGACGACAGTTTTGGTCTTTGCGCGATGGTTTTGGATAGCCTAGTGTTAAATCCACGGCCCCACATAGAATTAAAGATAACTCTGAAATCCTTTTCGGCCAGAGTCACACTTCATTTCCAATTGCACTTGGAAAACCGAAGGGGACTGCATCATATGCATATGTATTTGTAGTTTGTTGTTTAGTTTAATATATATACTTCAATACCAAACTATATTATGTCGGAAGAAAAATAGCCAAAATTTCCTAATGATTTTCATGATTCTCCAACAAATGGACTGCAACCATGGAGCATATATATTGCGAACCAAACTTGTAACCCTAGATTGCCACAAATGATGAAGAAACAAACCATTAGGGAAAGGTACTCACTCTTAATGTAATATTTCACTTATCTTAACCATTTCCAGTAAATAATCTGTAATACATCGACCTCGTAATATAACTAGGTTTTTTCTGGTGCAATGCGACAATAAGGACGGGAAATCAAGCAACAACTTTAAAGCATGACAAAACCTCAAAAATTATGATGGAATAATATGAAAGATAAAAGCCTAACAACAAGGGATGAGACAGTCATTTTATTCGTTTTAGTAATCCGTCTCTGTAATAATTCTGTTGTTAGTCAATCAAATCGATCAATCAAATCGAATTGGTTTTTGGTCAATTAATTTTCAATAGTAAAAAAACCGGAATAGGGAAACTAGGGTCGGATCCTGCCACTTTTGCAATAACTACATTTCGGACCAAAGAAAGTGACAGTTATGCGAGGGACATTTTGGGGTGTGGGGTGGAGGGGCGGGGCTTATGGATTTACCCTTCTAACCCACCCATTTCAATGAATCTTGTTATTCCTCCACTAGAACGGCGAGGTTGCAGGTAACCGTGGCCTGAATGTCGGTTGGTGGGTTTCTTTTCGGCGTAGGGTAGTTTGTTGTCTCCCTTAGCGAGTGTTGTGGTCGCGTTATAGCATTGGTTGGATGTTGTCTTTGCGTTTGAGTGATGACTTTATGTGTCTTGATGTGTGATAACTTTGTGTGACCTCACTATTCGGCGATGACCGGCTGTAGTCACCAACACGAATATGTTTGCGTCTATTGTCTTTGTGACATATTTGTGTTGGTGACGATTGTAGTTTTTTTGTACTTGTAATAGTTGTTTAGGGGTTTACTCAAGTTGTTTGTTTGAGCATATTCACTCCAAATCAATTTCTTGATCACTAGAAGTTTGTACCAAAATGACACTATGTACCTGTTTGTAATGTTTTATGAAATGTCACTCTATCTCTTATTGTAAAAAATTTAAAAAATTAAAAAAATTAAAAAGAGAAGCCAATGCCCCAATGGTATTGGTTGGTTTCCTTTTCCCGCGACATGAAAGTATTAAATTAAACAAGAGGAAGAGAGAAAGAAAGACCTTCCACTAACCCTAGAAACTATTATATATAGAGGCTTATCAGCCTTTATGCATCTTTATATTCTGCATGAATTCTAAAACCCGAAAATTCAACTTCTCACCTTGTGCAACTTACCAAAATATATAATTAGTAGTAGTTTATATTCTGCATAATTAAAGACTCATCAGCCTTTCTGCATATTTATTTCTGCATACAGCGTCCACGTACTGGTTTCTACTTCCCAAAATATAGGGTTCAATTTGTTCTCACATTTGTGTCATGACATTGACAGTGACAAATTAACCCCATAAAATTCCTGAAATTCATCCATATATTTGAAGTGAAAAGTAGAACTTTTCTTTGTTATTTATAGAATTAATTTATATTGAGCAACCCAACATGAAGAATTGCAAGTTTTCACTGCTTGTTTTCTGCATTTCATTCTTTTGCTTCTTATTAGTGTCCAACCAAGCCTGCAGATGGCATAACCATACAAAACAGAAGTACTCTCACAAGCAATCCCACATTTCACCACCTCCTTGCTCTCCGCCTGTTCCCACTACTCCTCCCGAAGAGCTGCCTACCAAGCCGTATCATTCCTCCGGTATTTTTGATGTAAGATCATTTGGTGCTGTTGGAGATGGCCAAACTGATGACACCACGGCGTTTAAGATGGCATGGGACACAGCCTGCCAAAGTGATGAATCTGCTGCAAGGATTCTTGTTCCCCAAGGTTTCTCATTCATGATACAGTCTACAATATTCACTGGTCCCTGCCTTGGGGGCCTGGTGTTACAGGTAATGTACTAATTTTAGGCCTTTGATTTGGATTAACCTTTACCTTACTTTGGGCCAATCAGTTGATGGAGTACTATTTTTTATTGTTTGTTGGTATTGTGTATATTTGGTAATGAGAAGGTTGATGGAACTCTAGTGCCACCTGATGGACCAGGATCCTGGCCAAAGCACATCAGCAGGCACCAATGGCTGGTCTTTTACCGAATCAACGAGATGTCGCTGCAAGGCGTTGGTGTAATTGACGGGAAAGGAGAGAAATGGTGGAATCTTCCCTGCAAACCCCATAGGGTATTTTTTTTAAAAATATAAATTTGTTCATATTCTGTCTGATACTTTTTTTTGGGGTGATTCAAGCAATTTCTGATTCCATGAAAATTCAATGGCACAGGGCATAAATGGAACCACATTGCCAGGACCATGTGATAGCCCAATTGTGAGTTGAAAACATTGCATATATGTTTATCATATATATATGTGTGTATATATATACATATATATATATATATATATATATCAGCTATATATGTTTAGTAATGAGCTCTAATGACATAAATTTGAATAATGCAGGCTATTAGGTTCTTTATGAGCTCCAATTTGACAGTTCAAGGACTTAGAATTAAGAATAGCCCCCAATTCCACTTCAGATTTGATAGTTGCAGGAATGTGCATATAGAATCCATTTCTATATCATCACCTGCTAAAAGTCCGAATACAGATGGGATTCATATAGAGAAAACACATGATGTCCAAATTTATAACTCAGTCATTTCTAACGGTTAGCCTTAAACTACTTCCAATATCTTCAATTTTTCCTCGTTAATTTTCTCATGAAAAATTCGTTACATCATCTACCTGTATGTTAAAAGACCTAGCTCTCTTCTGTTCTGCAGGTGATGATTGTGTATCGATTGGATCAGGCTGTTATGATGTAAACATAAGGAACCTTACTTGTGGACCTGGTCATGGAATCAGCATTGGGAGTCTCGGAAATCACAACTCACGAGCATGCGTCTCTAACATTACTGTTAGGGACTCGATAATGAAAGGGACGGATAATGGAGTTAGGATCAAGACATGGCAGGGCGGGTCTGGATCGGTGTCTGGAGTAACATTTAATAACATTCACATGGATAATGTTAGGAACCCTATTATGATTGACCAATACTACTGCCTTACCAAACGGTGCACCAACCAAACTTCAGCAGTGCTTGTATCGGACATACTCTATTCGAACATAAAGGGGACTTATGACGTTCGGAGTTCACCAATGCATTTTGCCTGTAGTGATGCTCTCCCATGCACTAACTTGACACTCTCAGAAGTTGAGCTCCTTCCTGCAGTAGGATATAAGGTATCTGATCCGTATTGTTGGAATGCTTATGGAGAGCTGCAGACACCAACAATTCCACCAGTCTCTTGCTTGTTGGATGGTGTTCCTCGATCCCTACTGGGCCATGAAATTGAGCGTTGCTGATTAACTGGTCTCATTTGTAAAGTAATCCACGTCTGTACAAAATTAGTTGAGGGATTATGAATCCGTCCATCCGGTAAACCTCCTTATGTGAGTATAGAGGACGACTGTTGTTTTATGTGCTCCCTACATATATACATAAATATGAAGTATGTTCTGTTTTTTCTTTCTCATGTTGATGTCTATATATGAATTTTCTTTTTTTCTAATTGAAAAAGCTAATGAAATTAGGTCCTAACTATTCCACCACAATCCATCAGTAACCTTAAACTCTGCAAGTATTTGTTGGGAAATATACAAGAGACCTTGCTAGTAGAAATAAACCTACAACCCGTACATAAAATCAAGAAAAGTGATTTCCACACTCATTTTATTTAAAATTTTTTTTTCTTTAATTTTCTATTAATTTATTTAATCCAAAAACAAAAAAGAAAGTGCTGAATGCAGGTAGAAAAGAAAGTGTAAATTAAAGATCAGCGGCCATGAATACCATTTACAGATGACGAGACCAATAAAAAATGTTTTCTTTCCTCTCATTAAGTGCACAAACACAAGTATGTGAAAATGCATATAAATTTGAAAAATCGAGACAGACCATGCAGACAAGGGGCGGCCACCAGTTTAGAAGTGTTATGCAATATTGCAACTTAAAAATACATACGCTCTAGCATTAATTCTAGAATAGCTAAATAGTCAAAATGGTCTCTGAAATTTGTATAACACATCACTTTAGTCACTGAGATTGAAAATCAATAGAAATGGTCCCTGAGATTGTCCACCATCCATCATTTTGGTCATTCTGTTAAAAACTCCATTAAGTGTCCTGGAGCTCTTGGCCGGAAGTTTGGGCAATTTTCAAAGTTTCGTAACTCAATCGTTTCTTAACCAAATTCGACCCATAATATATCAAAATGAAGATAGGAAAGTGTAGAACAAGATTATACCATTTGGAAGCCCAATGGTTGCCGGAGATAGCCGGACAATAGCCTCAAAGTTGACTGGTCCGCGGGAAAACTGGAAAACTCACTGAAAACTGGGTAAACTTCAAACGTTCATAACTTATTCAATACTCAACGAAATCAAGTGATTCAAAAAACGAAAATCATACTTCTCGATGAGACAAAGAGAATGGTACCTTCTCGAAGGCTAATTCACTGTGGTTTGGCCGGAAAACGGCTCAAAATACAGTGAATTAGCTATCAAAAAAGGTACCATTCTCTTCATCTCATCGAGAAGTATGATTTTTATTTTGGAATCACTTGATTTCGTTGATTATTGAAGAAGTTAAGAACGTTTGAAGTTTACCCAGTTTCCAGTGAGTTTTCCAGTTTTCCCGCGGACCAGTCAACTTTGAGGCTATTGTCCGGCTATCTCCGGCAACCATTGGGCTTCCAAATGGTATAATCTTGTTCTACACTTTCCTATCTTCATTTTGATATATTATGGGTCGAATTTGGTTAAGAAACGATTGAGTTACGAAACTTTGAAAATTGCTCAAACTTCCGGCCAAGAGCTTCGGGACACTTAATGGAGTTTTTAACAGAATGACCAAAATGATGGATGGTGGACAATCTCAGGGACCATTTCTATTGATTTTCAATCTCAGTGACTAAAGTGATGTGTTATACAAATTTCAGAGACCATTTTGACTATTTAGCTATTCTAGAATTC